TACTTCTTTTACTTCACTAAGATTTATTATTTGCTTATGTATTTTATTATAACAATGATATATTTTGTTTTGTGTTCCTAGCAACTTCGATGCATAATTAGCTTGTTTATGTTCCACATGGCTTCGTGTCTGTCTCTGTGTAAATATATAGTGAAAGAAGTGAAATCGTTAAGGAAGAATCTTTGTGAAAGAGTTTAGAATATGCCACTTAAGAGAATTGATACTTGACGGGCTTGGCTTACTCGAAATAGAATGGGAAAAACAGTTGCTAACGTAAACAAAGGCCACGTTTTAACAGCCAATCAGGATCGAGATACTCTCACTACGTCACTTGCAGGTTTTCCATTCAACATCGTCGATCAAAAAAAGCATGTTTATTCAGCGAATGTACGATTTTATGTCTGGTTTCGCGACTTAAAATATCGTCTGTTCTAATTATTTAGTAGATTTAAAATGGAGCTTTCGAACCATTAGAATTGAGCTTTAGTATCTGAAAATCCGTTTATTCGATCAAATTTCTTTCAGGGTTTTCCTTTTTTCCTTAAGCACTATACAACCACCTACCCTACCATGTTTAGAACAAGTTTAAAACTGAAATGATTACTTCCAGACCAAGACTATAATGTTAATCAGAACTAAATCGATTTAAGATATCCAATGCCTCTTCTGACTATAGGATCCTATATCCACCTGACGTAAGCAAATATCCTAGGAAGCTGAATTGCTTTCCAAAGTACACTGATGTGGAATTCATTAAAATTCATTCATTAACTTTTAAAACAGTTAATATACTGCAAAAACTCGGACCGAGAAACGTTTAAACCAGTGGCAAGATTAAGTACCCTCCACTTAGAAAGTGGTAAAAAGTTGCACGTTGCACTCATCCGTTGGGTTATTGTTGTGAGGAAGAAAGGGGTGGAAGGAAGAATCTAAACAAATGAATCATCTTTTTTTTTAATGTATTTTACATTTTGTTGCCTAGACAATTTTGATATGTTAGAAGTCCACATAAAGACAAGAGACAAATACTTTTAATGCATAAAAACCATTGCAACGTTTGAACTTTTGGTCCATAGTCTTATAATTGCTACATAGCGATTTTTAATGATTACTTCTTGCAGTGCAAGGTTACGCAATTTTGCCACTCTTCACACTTTTCCTCTCTCCATAAGCATAGTTTTGGTAGCTTTTGCTTTTTTTCCCCTAAGGCATTACATTCCGATTTCTGATTGAGTAAGCAATATATGACGGAACTATGGTTATGAGGAAGGGGAAAAGGTTGGAAAGTTTAGAAATTGGGTAAACTTGAAATGTCAATTCTAAAAAATAAAGCAGACAGACAAGGTAAAACTTTTGAGTGTCAGTATAAAATTTTATTGCAATATGAAACTGTTGCTGCACTTTTTATTTATTATCGAGAATATGATAAAAACGAATAAAATAATTTGTTTTTTACTTACAATCGCATTGGAGGGAAAAGACACATAGAAAAAGAAGAAAAATTATTTTGCAGATCTCAACCATCTAAAGTGTTTTATTTCATTGAATGTATTTTATTTTTCAAATGTTGCATTGGAGATCATCTTGTTTTTAAAAATTTTCTCAGCACATTGTAGAAAAAAAAATTAAGGTTAAACTATCCACGTATTCAAAATATTTATTATCTTCGCTTCTTCGTTTTCCTTTTTTTTTTATTTAGAAAATCACAATTCTATTGGATGATTTTTATTTTAATTATTTCTAAGTATTGCATTCATTTTACAAAAGCCGAAAACGGCTATACCACGCAAACACAAATAATATCGCACACTCTAAAGAAGGAAATCAAAAGGTGTTAAAAACTGCGCCTGATGAAGAAGTGGAAAGAAATAGGAAGACTTTCTGTTATTATTATTCTATTAAATTAAGTTTCCAATAGCCAAAATAATTTCACTTTTTTGTGTAAGTTCTAAATCTTACATACATATTTAAAAAGTTCTCAAGCAGTTTGTTTTTAGAGCGGCATTTATATTTCGATTCAGTAATTTATTTCTTATTAAATAACATTATTCCACAACTTTCAAATCTATAAAATCCATAAAATATCTATCACTTTTAAGAGAAGAAAAAATATTTTTCTTGGGTTGCATTAAATTACAAAACCAAATCAATAAATCTAAATCAATAACCAATACAAATTGTTTGTATAATCACAAAAGCTACAGAAACGAAAAAAAGTGTTGTTATAGTTACACGCAATTCTTTACACGATACAATTACAGCAACACTAAAACTCTTATTCTTGATTAAATTTTTTTTGGTAGAATAGTTATTAATTTAATATTCAAATTTAAATTAGTTTTCTGAATGCATTGTTTCCAGAAAGTAATATTACATTACATTTACGTTATTAATTATGTACAACTTAAATTTCCAACCAGAACAAGAAAATCAGAAGAATCATTAATTTATCAAAATATTCAATTATAAATGTTATATGATTCCAACTAAAAAAAATTATGCAGACTTAAAATCTTTTAACTTTAAAGTTTCAAATTGAATAGCAATAAACAATGCCAATTTGTCTTATTTTAGCATATTTTATATTTTGAGTGACTTCATTAAAAACAATAAGAAGACTGATTTTATTAGAACTGGAAAAAAAAGAGAACATTGAAACGACAATGAAGTATTTAACAAATATTTGTCTGGTAAACATCTATTAAAATTATAAACTTAAGATTAGGTAAGAAAAACAACTTTATATATTCCTCGAAAATAAAAATAAGAAATGATAAAAATTAAGAACTGCGTAAACATCCTTCTGTGTGTTAAAAGAATTATGAATCCATCTACCCAAATTTCGAACGCTAAAATTCTTCTTCATAAAGAATGGAAGCAAATATATTTCTGCTTGGCCTTATTTGGCATCTTTTCGGATGTCAAAAACAACTCAACTTTCAAAAATATTCTTCAACTTACTTTCAGTGTTATGTGGTTACTGGTAATTACCAGTTATATAACTTTATACAGCTACACCGTATTCTGTAGAGAACTCAACCATTTTACGCACGATGGAACAGTTAAACAATTCCATATAATCGACTTATCGTTCGCAATTGCAATGGGTGTAATACTGAAGATTACAACACGAAACCTTAAGAGTTCTGAACATTTAAATCGAACCGTATGGTCCTCTAAAATTGAAATGGCGCCAAAGAACAGAATGAATTTTACATTCTTCTTTCTAACGCTGATTCCATTCATTTTAAATTACAGTTATAGTATTATGAACTTAGAAAATAGCGTTGTTGCCAACGGAGTTTTTGAAATTGCAAATCGTAACGACAAATGGATTGAAGTTATAGTTGTTTTGTATCTGTTCCCGACTTACATTTCCTTCTATGCTTATCCTTGTCTATGTGCTGCTGTTTCTTATCAAGTTTTGCTGGGAAATTTTCTACTAATTCAAGACTGTAGTCGCCAAATAACACTATCGTTCCGAAAAGAAATAACTACAAAATCATTACTAAACATCGATTCGCATTTATCGACGAAAATCGATATTATCAAAGAAGCCAATGATAAAATATCTTTTTTAATATTTGCCTTGATATCTTTTTGCATTGTTAACATTTGCTACGTTTTAGGATTAATTTCGAAAGAGGGGTTCTCGAATCCGCTGAAAACGTTTGCTTACTTCTTTTCGGTGGTTGTAGTTGCCTATTATTTCATTGCGTTAGTTAATGTTTCGGACAAATGCGTCAATGAAATGAAAGAAATTGAGGAAAATGTTTACATGAAAATCAAAACAACCCCTAATATTTATTTAGAGCCAATAAGTTCGAATGTTCTAATCTTATTGAACAATGCATTTATTGGATTTAAAAAAGAAATATCGCTGGCTCCGTTTGGTTTATTCAAAGTAGAAAAAAAACTTATTCTAGCTGTCTTTGGTATGATTATCAGCTACGAAGTTATACTGTATCAATTATAATTTAGATAAGCTAATGGATCAGCTCCTAAGTGTTTTTTCTTTTACCTATGAAACCATTTTTATTGCAGATAGTTCAGTGAAAAAATGCTAGTGGTAGTATTTGAAAAACTAACACTGTCGTGGAATAATTGTCTATTAATTCGTGTTCACAAAATATTTTTTACATCTTGAAAAATTATAGACACTGTTAGAATTTTCATTCTAAAATTACAGTAAAATAACCGGCACCAATCTATCAATTCAATTAACTGTAAAGTTTACGGTAAAGAACATTTTTTACCATTATGGTTTTTCAAACCATTTACAACTAATATGGTTTCAAAACCGCTAAAAAATTAAAAATTTTTGTGTTATGCAGCTTTATGGCTGCCACCTATGCGTGAGTGAGAGTATCATATTCTAATAGTTCAGGGTCACAAATTGGGGAGTAAAGGACACTGCAAACTCTTCATATGAAGGGAATTGATAAAATATTGTGGTGCTAACACTTAGACTCGTACCCCCGTTCTGTCGGTCATGAGACTGACAGATTTACTCTCTCGACTATAATATTTATCGAGCGGCAAGGAACTAAGCCGCCTCGTTGGATGGACTTACTTGGTGCAATAAAATTCTGGTTGTTTAATCATATTAGGTGAAGGCAATTTATAAACGGTTTATCTCAACTTTAACAGTTTGAATACCATCTTATTTAACTGTTTTGTATGAATGTGGTAAAACAACAAATAAATAATTTATTATTTAACAATGTTTTTCTGAGAAATTTCTAACAGTGCATCTGTTTTATTTATTATTAAAGTTACAAGCTTTTGTCATAAGTAATTCTGTGAAAAGGATAAAGATAATGTATTAAGTAAGATCAAGAGCCAGTTCAGTGCCCAATAACTGGAAAAACTTCTGCTTTGTTCATTTATTTTTTATACTCGTTACCATTTATTTTAATTATAAATACAACAATGACAAAAAAACAGAAACATGTACATTCTTGCGTTTGCTATACAAATAAAAACTTAAAGAACTGCAATGAAACTTATAATTTATCAATTTATTCAGTCAACGCTGATCAAGACAGGAAATACATGTTTCAAATATTTGGCCGTGATCATAAATTGACCTGATGAAGATGTGGTTTACTTTTTCATTCTTGTAAATTTCTGCAAGGAAGAATAGTATATATTACCCAAAATATAATACATTTAATGATTAAAGTAGTATTTTGTTAATATTGTTTTATTTATTTATTCAAATGGTTAGGAGAGCTATTTAGAGGCTCAGTAGCCAATTTGTAGCGATTCGCAATTTCGTACCAAAGGTCCGGGGTTCAATCCTTGACCATGAAAGGTTGACTCAATCTTTCATCTCTCCAGTGAGCAGATTAAATGAGCCCCAATCATGTTTTTGGAAAATACAGGGAGGTCCCGCGTTCGACGGACCACCCAACCGGTACATCTGTTCCTATACTCCAGAACTCAAAGTGAAGGAAATATGGATCGGCGCCGTTGACCTTGGCAATTCATAGGTTGTTGTGCCACTGAGTTTAGCTCAGTTAAAAAGTGGTTTTGGTAAAAACAAGAGAAAGAAAAAAAATATTAGATTAAAAAATTAATAATTATTATGGTGAAAGCCGTCGTGGCTCAGGGGATAGAGCACTCGCAGCCAAATGAGTTGACACGAGTTCAAATCCCATCGGTGGTTGGTCGAAACGAATTCCACACCCGGCTCACACCAACCACAATGCTGACATTTAATATATCCTCAGTGGTTGATGGATCATGGGTTAGAGTCCCCTTGCCATCAGGTTAATCGCGTGAAATTGTTGTGGTTTTCCTCTCCATTAGTTCAAACAAAACGTCCATCACGAAGGCACACTTCTCACAGTACTTAATCCAGGAGTTCCCTTGTCTTCTGGATTGCTATCAGTTCAAAAAACGGTGACCTAACTTGATTTGACAAACATGAATAAATGTTTTAAGCTCACATCAGTTGCAAAGAGGATATTATTCACAAAAACTCGTTATTTAAGTTGACGATTGATAGTGCTTTCAGTTCAAAAACAAAAGATCTAACTTGATCTGACAGACTTGAATAAGTGTTCCAAACTCAAAGTAGTTGCGCAAAAGATGTTTTTTGTTGTTGCAAAAACACATTATTTCTGGAGACCACTGTGCTTTCATTCCACTCGACGGTGACCTAATTTGGCTTAAACGAATTTTATTGGCAAACAGGCACTACTTCAGTAGACAACATTACCTTTGAAAAACAGCATTAAATGAAAAAGATAAAAAGTTCTTCTTTTTCCCTCTGATAGTTGAATTTATTAGGAGGAAAAAGAAACTTAATTAACTACTTAATAAACTTTAAAGACAAACCGCTGCTTACTTTTAAGCGCTTTCAGTCTCTTCTATTTCCTCATACTGAATTGACTTCAATATATCCCGAACTATTACCTTATCTTCATTCCTGGAACAAAGCATATTAGGTTTTTCACAAGTTTCTGTTATCAATTACATACTTTAAGAATATTTTGTTAATTTTCGAACGACACTTTCAATTATGTTTTCCCTAGAAGTTTGAACTGAATTGAATGAAAGTCCTAAAAAAGAAGACATGATGCGTCAAAGCAGACGATTTTGAAAACAGATCTGCATAGAAAAGAACTATAAACCTATGTTATCATTCATTTTTAGTATCTGTACCATATAATTTAGTTTCGATGATGTTTCATAATTAACACGGGTGAGATATGCGTCTTATCTGTAGGGATTGGGGAGGGATAGCCTGTTTCGCCGGGCGTTGGGCTTACCTTCGTGTTAACCGGAGTTCGAATACAGCCGGCCGAAGACTCTCAGTGTAGTAACTAATGAACGTTCTATTTGTCGATACTGAATTGATAGTACTGAATTGGAGATTGATCGTTCTCTGATTCAGGTAAAAATTATGATCTGAGGATAAATAAATGGAAGAGTGAATGGGTCCTCCCTATAAAACGGGTGTGACGTATGGGTGAGGCAAAAGTTAAATTCTTGACCATGGATGGCGCTACTGGAAAACAAGAACCCACTGTGCCTTAATAGCCGACGGCAGCATCAACATCAGTATAGTTTGTCTAAGCTAAAAACTCATCCCGCCACAAAGTCTGAGGCAGCCTAGTGCTATGGAAACAAGGATGGTGCATTTTAGGGAGGGTAGTTTCACTCTAGGACTATTACAATAGACCGAAGAGATTCCCTTTCTCTTGCCGACCCGACCCGAAACCACTCCAAAATAGTGACCCCGCACCCCTACTTGAAATAGTCATACCTAGTTACCATTGTCACCGCTACAAGTACAGACGAATGTCTGGTGGATTTCTTATTTTAGACTAACTATAGAGATCAACCAGCTACACTTTAAATAAAATACTCCGTTAAATGAAATAACAAAAATGTAAAGCGGATCGTTAGTTTTTGGCATATATTTTTTATATAATTTTGATTTTTATCTAAGCATTAAGATTGCCGATAGTCCGGCCTTGCATTGCTTCGACGTAAGTTATTTTGGTAAAGTTACATAACTTCGTCGAATGGACGTGCTGAGCGAGCCTTAAGGGTATTAGTAGAAAGGGCTAGGACATTATTATATGAAAGTGAATAATCATTAAAATTTTAAGCTGAAGCGATAAATGTTAGCGTTTACATTTTTAATCTTACACAGCGCGAAAATAAACAAAATCTTCCGATTGAAATAGAGTCAGAAAAAGAACCTCAACGTAACTACTTAAAGGTGTTTGGCTGCGTCGTTTATTTTCATATACTTAAGCAATTCCGAAGTAAATTTGATGTTCCAGGAAAACGTGGGATTTTTGTTGGTTATTCTAGAGAAAGGCGTGCTTATAGAATATATGATGTCGATAAAAATATTGTAATTGACGAGCGATCTTCAAATTTAACGAATCATTAAGAGGAAGTAAATTTGCCACAAACAAAAATGAATGTAGCATATAGAACATTGAGGATTTGACCCCAGTTTAATATATCTCAACCGCAAATTAAAACTGAAACACATAATTCCCCTCCAACCGAATCAAGGAGTGAACATTCTTTTTCTCATAAATCATCTCAAGAAAGTACCGATTCGCAAAATAAAAATAATCAAAATACTTCGGCATTTCTGAAAGAATAAAAAAATATCCGCGAACGCGAGCTTAGCCTCGAACGGATCATCTGTTCCTCAAAATTATGCCCAGGCGATAAGAAGTAAATAAATATTCGGAGTGGAAAACCGCAATGGAAAATGAACTTCTTTCGATGGAGAAAACATAAGGTTTTCGAATTAATTGAGAGGCTTCAGAAGGAAAAATTAATGAAAAGTAAATGGGTGTATTAAAAATAACGGTAATAACAAAATTTACAAAGCGTGACTGGTTGCAGCTGGGTTTAATCAAATAAAAAATGTTGATTATTCTGAATCATATTCAACTGTGGCAAATATTGAATCATTTAGAATATTAATTGCTTTAGCAGCAGAATTGGATCGATTTGTTATATTTTTTGATGTTGAAACTACATATTTATATGGTGATATTGTTGAAACTGTATGTATGGAAATACCTCCAGGTTTTGAAGTATTTATGGTTCACCTCAGTCTGGTAGAAATTGGCATATAAAGTTAAAATATTAACTTAAAAAGATTGGCCTCACTCAACTTGCATCTGACAATTGCGTATTTACTAAAATTAATGATAATGATTTGCAAATGATAATGATGAACAAAACCAGGCATCTAAATCTTAAATTTATTTTTGTGAGAGATATGATTGAAGATAAAATATTAAAAACTGTTAAAAACAATACTAATGATAATGTTTCTGATTTTTCAACTCAAGCTGTAAGGTTCGAGAAGTTAATTTTTTCTTTGGAAAAAATAAGGTTAATTTGAAATTTACATTAAGACAATTAATATGTTTTATATGTATGGTTATTTGCATTAAAAAGTTAAATCCTTCTCGCAGGGGGAGATTACTATGAAGATCTTTTCTTTTTAATACCGCAAGATGGCGTTCTTTTTAAACTTGCATGGATTTGTCTGCTTTTTGTTAATAAACCTTTACTTTCTGTGTGAATATCAATCTCCACGGACTACAAATACCAGGGCTCGAAAAACCTCCCGTCCTCGGCGGTCAAAAATTCACCGCGGGCAACAAATTTCTCAAATCAGACGTCCGCGCAGACGGCCATTTTTCCGCTAATGTTCGTGATACATTTTCAATTTTTGTTTTCTTACAAGAGTCTAGCGCCTCACTTCTAAAATGACCCTCTAATCTCGAAATCCCGTTAATTCTTTTATTATTGAATAATATAATCTTAGTAACTACTAATTTATTGTGCAATTATGTAAATGTTTGCAATAAATAAGAGAAAATTATATTTTTATTCATTTAGAAGCTACGGGTTAGTTTCAAAGTAGGACGGGTGCATTGTTGGACAAGCCGTCCTCGGGGACGGGTAAAATTTCCGAGTTTTTCCGAGCCCTGACAAATACCATTTTTGCTTGCATCTCACTGTGCTTTGAAGCTGATCATTAAGTTCTAAATTATTTAACAAATCTCTTAAACTGCACTTTATAACAGTATGTTAGTGTTATTTGCACAAAAATAATATATGTGAAAAATTTAATAAGATTAAACCCCCTTTCTAAATAACTTTATTTTAAAATGCAGCTCAGAATTGCATTGTAATAAACAAAATAAAAGTTCTTAATAAATTCTCTTGGTTTTAAACTCTTGAATTAAATGCGTAATTATAGCAGTACAGAGAAATAACTTTGTGGGGAACTGATTATCGACTTTGCCAACCTTCATCTATCAAAAGGTACCTCAAGTTGGATTTAAGTTAACATGTCTTATATACTAGTTAATTAGTATTTAATATTTATAGTGGTAGTTACGCCACGTTACTCCCCTTCCAGAATTTTATCTGGTATAGAAATTCGATGAACGGATACCACTAGTTGATTCATGCTGTTTATTTATTTATAACATTTTTGCTCATTATATTTTTTTTCTTCATTTTTTTGTTTATAGCATTTCACTCATTTTTTTTCAATACTTGACCGGCAGACTACTTACTTTACCGGATTTTTTTTTATTTTCAATTTTTTGAAGTTATACTTCTTATGCGGCTTCTTATGGCCGGGAAATCACGTGGTAGGATCCAGCTTTCTCTCATTCATTTCCATATTGTTTTGGTTCTCACAAGCATAAAAATAACAAAAGTCATAAAAGTATTGTTTTTCTATAAACATGCTTTGATACACATAAAATTTAATAGGGTAGTATATTTTATTTTCGAATTTAGTGGATAGCCATTGTAAAAAATGAGTGAAAACAATCCCACGGACAATGCGACGGATTTAAGGTTATGTCAAGGTACGTCTCTTGTGAATATCAATCGATTGTTAGGTTTTCTCTTCTGAAATTACATTATGACGTATTCACATACATTATTAACACATTTTCCAGGGCAAGACGATGAGGCAACCACAAGCACTTCCACTGGTTCAAGAGATCCACGAGGGAAAAATGCACAATATTACCGTGATTACAGAGCACGGAAGCGAGCTGAGCAGGAAAAAGAGTCGTTGAATAGAACTAGTGATCCTTCTACGACTGCTGATTCTTCTACAATTAAGGTCGCAGGTTGCGAAGTTTAACTTCTTCCGCGCGGAGAGACTCCACGCACTATTTTTCTCTTTTGTTTAATGATCAGGTGACTTTATTTATTTCACCAGTTTTTTTTTCTTTGAGCAATATATTTTTCAGCAAATCAACTGTTTAATGTTGATCATCCTTCAATATTGGCAAGTTCTTATCACGTCCGGGGGTCACCAATGTGGGGATTATAATAATAGATTCTGTCAACCTTCAGCTATCAAAAGGTACCTCCAGATGGATTCAAGTTAACATGTCTTATATACTAGTGAATTAGTATTTAATATTTATAGTGGTAGTTACGCCACAACTTTAAATTAGGGCTACGGAAATATTTGCAGAAAAACAACACCTTTATGACTTTTATTAGTTTTATGCTGATGACAACCGAAACAATATGGAAATGAATGAAGAAAAACTGGATCCTTCCACGTGGTTTTCCAGCCNGAAAACGATCCTGCACTTGAATTTTTTTTCAAATTTTTAACTATCATAATTGTTTGTCTGCACCAGAACCATAGGTTTCATATATAATTTCAATTTCAATCTCAAATGGCCTTTATTATTAATATTATTATCAATTTTTATCTTTTGAGTTTTCGTCTCCCCCTGATCGCCCATCTAAGGATTATCGCCCCCTTGAGAAGCTCTATCGCCCCTAGGTTGGGAACCACTGTTCTAGATCATTTAACAATTCTCTTAAACTGTACTTTATAACAGTATGTTAGTGTTATTTGCACAAAAATAATAATTGTGAAAAATTTAATAAGATTAAACCCCCTTTCTAAATAACTTTATTTTAAAATGCAGCTCAGAATTGCATTGTGATACTAATAATAAAAGTTCTTAATAAATTCTCTCGGTTTTAAACTCTTGAATTAAATGCGTAATAATAGCAGTACAGGGAAATAACTAGGGCTATAAAAATGACCTTTATGACTTCTATTAGTCTTATGCTGATGACAACCAAAACTATATGGAAATGAATGAAGAAAAACTGGATCCTTCCACGTGGTTTTCCAGCCTATAAAAATGCACGGACAACAATACTAATGCACCATTACTAGATTTTTAAAAATAGTAAAATACAAGGTAATTTTGAAAGGTGACCAAGCAGGTCACCAGAGGCGGCTAGTTTTATGATAAAAATCTAAAGGAGCACAAAATAAATCATAATTAAACACATAAACGATAGATTTTAAAGTGAAACTTACGAAAGATTGTTAGCTATTTCTTCAAAGTTAGGCTCAGGTTCTCCATCCTTCACCTCTATCGGCAACTCAAAAAACAATGCTTTAAGATCTGAAAAATATTTAATCTTGAAGAATGAAATATTGCTTTGATGATGATTTATTTTATTTTTAAGTAGTTTAGTGAAAATGACGGGGTGAGGATTTGCTCGCTATTTCTCGTTCCCGTGAAATTTCCGGGCTGGAGTGTTCAGTAGTAATGCGCCAATAAGAATAAAAGTAATTCATTTCTTTTTCCCGGAAAGCATTTTATTTCTCATTTTTCACACCAGATAGCAGTACCAGGATATTTTTAAGGTAATTGTAAATAGTTAGTTTATTTTAAACTAGATACCAGCACTAATCAAATACGCGTATTTGGCAAAATAGACACTTTTATGACCGTTTTCCTAAAAATTAACCGATCGTTAATGTGATCATACAGATTTTGAAAACATTGCTGATTGATAACAATAAACGAATCACGAAATTAGATACATTTACGAATTTACGCTACACTAAGTATGTTTAGAAATAAAACTGAATAAATCATATTTATTTACTGTAAACTCTTCTTAAAAATTATACTCAAAGAGAAAAATCATCAATGGGATGCCTGCAAGTGACGTAGTATGGGTTGGTTGTTGAAACGTGGTATTTGATTTTGTTAGCAACTGCTCTTTCCATTCAATTTTGAGCAAGCCAAGACCGTCAAGTATTAATTTTCTTAAGTGACACATTCTATATTCTTTCACAAAGATTTGAATTCTTTCGCGATATATTTCTTACTTAAAACAAAGGCAAGCACGAAGCAATGAAGAACATAAACAAAATAATTTTGCATCGAAGTTGCGAGGTACACAAACAAAAACATATCATTGTTACAATAAAATACACAAACAAATACAAAAACTAAGTAAAGGACGTTGACAAGAAAGAATTATATTTCAACAGTTTCGATGTTCGGTACGAAACTCAGTTTAAATAAAATCGCGTTATTTAACAGTCTAACTTATGTGGAGAAACTTGGCTCAACTTTAACAAGCTATTTTGCTTATAAGTAATCAGATAGCTCTGACGCCATACGTCACAAGTTTGATCTTCTTGAAGTGCAAGTACTTAATTGTTGATTATCTACTACATTTTCTAAGCAGCTTATTTATAAAATTTTCATAATCGCACAGACGAAAAAAAATTCTAATAAAAATACTGCATCGTATGGTAATTACATTTCTGGTAAAAAATATATATCATAATTTCTCTTAATAAAACCAAAATATACGGCATTTACACCATTTAATTGGTAATTTTTCCATTCATATGGTAACGATTTACATGCCATGCTGTAAAGATAACAAGATGAAGTTGCCAAATTTTTGTACATTGTTAATTTTACCAAAATCATTTTCAAAGTACATCCGTGAAAATTATGAGGGGATTTAATTATAGACTATGTCAACCTTCATCTATGAAATAGTACCTCTAGTTGGAATCAAGATAACATGTGTTATATACTAGTGATTTGGTATTTAATATTTATAGTGGTAGTTACACCACATTACTCCCCTTCCAGAATTTTATCCCTGATAGAATTCCATGAACAGATTCCACTAGTTCATTCATGCTGTTTATTTATTGATATAAATTTTTGCTCATCATATTTTCTTCATTTTTTGTTTATAGCATTTCGCTCTTTTTTTTTCTTCTTAATTTTTTTTTCTTCAGAAGGTTAGCAAATATTTTATTTACCATAGCTGTTCTATTTTTCATCCAAACTGTTGCCATCCAACATTTAAGAAATAATTTATAAATCATCTTGCTCAATCAATTCATTATCGATTAAGAATAATACGAGCAATGTGGCGTAACTACCACTACAAATATTAAATACCGATTCACTAGTATATTAGACATGTTAACTTGATTCCATCTTGTGATACCTTTTGATAGATGAAGGTTGACATAGTCGATAAATAATTCCCTCAAGACAAAAGCATGGAAAGTTTTATCATATACTGGTAGTCTCGACGATACTGTTTTCTCGCAGGTCTTTAAAAAAATATCGGAGCGGTACACTTCAACACTTTAATTGCATTCCTCTTTTTAGCAATCTGTCAGAACAATTTATTATACCGATCATTTATTTCAATATTAAATCAGTTCATTTTCTGCTATCCATATCGTCAAACTCTATGAATGCAAGTATTAAGGCATAAAATATCGACGCACCCGTTCTCTGCTCACATAAGACTCCACTCTTCTTCTGAGATAGAAAGAAAATGACCACGTGACTTTAACAATCAACGACCATACTCCTGTCAAACAGAAAACGATTTTAAAAAATTACTAGGAGGCTTCGCCCCCTGCTCGCTGGCGCTCTCCAACCCCCGGAACTGCTTTCGCAGTTCATTTCGCGCTTTGCTAGCTCATTGGATATGTTCTTAACGTCCAGCTTTTGTATACTTTTTTGAACACTCTGAAGTTCCAAAAACTTTTCACTGTAGAAAATTCTAAACCTGTGCATTTCAATATTAATTTGAAATTGCAAACAGTTCACATATTTTTCTTAATCACACTATTCTAAATTTCAGTTGTTGAGAAAAGTAACTGTTGTAAGTTTTGTTTTAAAGTCTTTCCCACCAGAGGGCTAAAACCATGTGTTGTAAAACAATATGAAATAGTACTGAACGCCGGATGTAAAGCATCGGCTTCGATGAAGATAATTTTGTGAGAATTTTTTTGATAATTCGGTGAGAATTCACCCGATTAGACATATGATGCTCACTACGTGCTCTTGCGCGCCGAATCCAATCAATTAAAAATGAAAACTGTTGCCAGCGCGAGAAAAGAAATATCATCGGTTTTATTGATACATACGTACGTATTAGCGTTTTGTATAATATAGATTTAAAAAACCACTAACATTTAATAACGTGTTGATCACAGAAAGCGATAATTTTAGCATGCTAATGAATAGAGAAAATTCGAATTGAAAGATTTTGATTGCAATAAGTGACTGATAACGTTATTCGCGATCACATTGAGCAAAGTTAGTCCTTAAACTTTATTACATAGGGTAACATTGGGCCATATTTTCGGTTTCTATACTTACGATTAGGGGTGATTTTAATATCATCCTCTTCCGATGACACGAAGGTTAGGCACAAGACAGCCAGAAGTAAAAATTTAACAATCATTCCTTGCTTCATTTTTTCTAAAATAGAAACATGCACAATTTATACGCTTGTACTTACAAATACACGTCAATTTATTTTCTAAACAAAACAGCGCCTCCATTAATGAAATATAGCTCATAGAAAATTCGTTTCTTTTTCGGCATAATTAAATGAAGATGGTTTCGCCATTTTGCAAAAGTTACGTATAATAGAAATTAATAAAAAAACATTTACTACCATCTAAGATTTCATACTTTTTAAATGCATACATAAATGTAGCATAATTAATTAGCTCAACATTTTTAAAAAGTTACAAATTGAAAAATTTTAAGAAAAAAATTATGTACCTTCTGAAATTGCATATTTTTTAACTACATATATAATTTTGTATGCAAACGGAAAACTAGCGCAACCTGCAGGATTAAACTTACGAACACATGCCAAATTAGTTTCAAAATAGATCAGAGCACTCATAGTTTGTTTCTGTAGCATAATTAAATGAAGATGGGTCCGCAGTCTTATGAAATTTGCAAATGTAATTTTAAAAAAATAAAGAAAAAAAATATTCTACCATCTAAAATTGCATACTTTTTGAGTGCAGATTTAATTATGAATGTAGACGGAAAACTTACCCTACTTAAAGGCTTGAACTTATGAATACACGCTAAATTAGTTTCGAAATAGATCAGAACATTCATCTTCGAAATTTAGTTAGTGAAAGTTTGTTTTCTTATCAGAATTAAATGAACATGGCTCCTCATTTTAATAAAAGTTACAAAGAAAAAAAATTAAGGAAATTATTCTGCTCTTTTCTAAGATTGCATACTTTTTAAAATATATTCAATTAGGAATGTAAACAGAAAAATTATAGACTTGAACTTTCGAATATTCCATGATAGATTCGATTCATATCAGAATATTGATTTTTGAAATACAGCTTAGTGAATGTTTGTTTTTTAAGCATAGTTAAAAGAAGATGACTCCACATTCCTATGAACATTGCAAATAAAATTTAGAAAAAGTAATAAAACAATTATATTACCTGTTGTATAATTTTGAAATGTATTTATAATTATAAATATAGACAGAAAACTTTTACTGACAACAATAACTGAAACAATTTACTGACTTAAGCTGAAGACCAGTAAATGAAATGTGTTTCAACGCAGATGTTATTAACCAACATTAATAAAACCGAATGAAAATTTTTTATAACAACGTCATGTTTTTTTATTTATTTTATTATATTTTTTGATATATATCTGAGATAAAATACTCTTACCTGAAAGTCTTCTTTGTTAAAAAAAAGAAGAAAAAAAAACACATGAAGAGATTTCGTATAATTGCATATTTTTTCAAGTTTCAATTTTGGCAGAACAATCACTTTTTTGACTTTCGCTGGTAACAGAAGAATACTTGCACCTGCTTTTCCATTAAGTTAATTGAATTTATGTTCGAATTGTTGAACATGTGTTCGGATGAAGTATATGACAGATAGCACTTGATTGTGACAGGTCGTTTAAAAACCTATCTACTTAATTTGTAACATCTACTACTTACATTTTATTAATTTCCTTTATTTAGTAGATTTCCCCCCAAATAATATTAAATTCAATGCAGATATTTCATGGACAAGTTGGATTAAACTTTCAGCCAGCTTTGTCATACATCTTAAATTCATTATTATACTCTGTTTCCACTATCAGCTAAGCCAGTTTAAATTGAATCACATTAAAAAAACTTAGAGTTCACAATTTTTAAACATACACCCTTGAAATTTTCTAACACAGAAATATTATTTCAGCAATTTAACACAAAAAGTTCAGAGGAAAAAAAAACATTGGTAGATCCAAAAATATACGAATCATCGTATATTAAATTGATTTCTTATGATAAATGTAAACAAATCGTTTGAACTTTAGGGGATATATTACCATAAATAACTAAAAAACAAAGTTAAATTAGCCAAGATTAAGAAAGTAACTACTTGATCTTAGTGAAATAAAAAGGAATACAACAAAATACAGATAAATACTTGTTTTCAACAAAAAGAAATACTTAAAAGTGAATACAAAACTTGGCGATTCCAAATTAAGTTTGGCGAATACTTATTCTGCCAATCTCTTCTTCTTCATAAGTGCAACAGCCTTTCACAAGCCAAGGCTGACTCGCAGATTTTCCTCCGTCTGGCCCTGTCTGGTGCGACGGCCCGCCATCGGTTGACTCCCAATAGCTTGAGGTTCTTTTCAACGTCGTCTATCCATCTTGTAGGTGGTCGTCCCCTACGTCTCGTCCCTTCAATTATGGAAAAAGTCACTTTTTTGGCAGGGACGGCATCATGTTTTAAATAAATTAATGCTTAATAAACGCAATTTCTAATGAAAATTCCTATATTTGGTACATAGTTAAAAGTGTACAATTCAAGTAACACTGAAAGTTATTCACTTATTATTTTTTTTAAATAGACAAAAGCAAGCCTTAAAAAAAATAAAAAATCTAACAACTTAATATCGTTTATATATTACATATATCAGTAAATAAATCTAATAAGTTGTAAATAAATAGCATTTAAATCTCATAAACGAGTTTCACTGCCAGTTATGTCATCTGCAATTTATTATCCATTTCTTCTTTCTTTTCAAATTTGGAGGAAATCTAAACATTCGAAAGCTCTTGTTTGAACAATTTGTACAATTTACCGCCTCACAACCACCCATATGAATAATTTTAGGTATCCAAATAGTCCTCAAACTCTTATGGTAATACTAACATAACGTTAACTTGCGAAATTGTCTGCTCCAACATGGCGGATAGTTCAGCTCTCATAGTATAGAAGCCTTCAGATATATGAGGTCCGTCTACATAGGATAAGAATAGATAGGAATAAATAGATAGGAATTGGGAATATTAAAAACATTATAGATTAAGAATTTAGGAATTTTTTGGTAAATTATAGATCCTGTCTCCCACCCCCCATATATTTGTTATCAAAAAATCTACTTTAAAAGGGATAAATTTATTCATAAAAATACTTTCTTATGCCTGAATTTTTTAATTTTATCACTAATTAATTAGAACATTTGGGTTCGACCTTTTGAACTATTCAAGTTGGCACTTATTACATGGAAATCCGATCATTAGAACAAAAGTTATTTGGGAGTTTTATTTTTAGTTTACTGTGTATATTGCATTTTTTTTTTGTTATTATTTCTATTTGACACATAATAAAATATTTTTATGTGAATCCTATTTCAGATATGAGTGAGATTATATCTTTCGTTACTTTGCACATAATAAAAAAGAACTGATAACAATTCAGAGTCATGCGTGATTTGTTATCACACATATGGAAATATTGAACAATGATGACATGGAGAAATGATTTATAAGTTTAAAAGTAATGGAAACTCATTTAGTGTAATTGAAATTTGTGACGATGCATTTTTTTTGGAAAATAAAAAATAGTAGTAGATTTTAAAACAGATCAGATTGCAGTAAATTCAAGTAAACATGAAAATATAGTGGATTTAAATACTGATAAAACGTTAGCGGATACAAGCACCGATAAAAAGAACAATATTCGAGTATTGAAGAAAAGAGATTCTGTTCAAAAAGTGTTCAAATTATAGGGAGTTCGAGTACTGAACAATAGAGAATGAATTCGAAAATTTAAAATAATAGTTTACTAGAGCAGTGGTCAGCAAAGTGCGGCTCCAGAGCTGCATGTGGCTCTTTGGCTCCTTAAGTGCGGCTCTGGCACTATATCAACGGAAGGCGCAATAATATTTTCATTTAAAAAAAAAAAACTTGGTAAGAAAAAAATTACATCTTATTTTGATAAATTAAAATTCTTCTATAAATCGAGAACATGTATAATCACGATATACTTGTTTACCATTATATCATTCACCAAGAAGCGCTTTGTGCGCAAACATTTCCAGATGAAATTTGTAAAGTTATGGAATTAGTGATTACCATTATCAACTATATTTTAGCTAAAGCTCTTAATCATCGCCAATTCAAAGAATTTTTATTTGAATAAGAGAGTGGGTACACTGATCTTCTGCTTCATAACAAGGTACGGTGGTTATCAAGAGGGAACATTTTAAAACGTTTCGAGTCCCTTTTTCCGGAAATTAAAGTATTTTTCCTTGAGAAGGGCGTTCACTACCTAGAACTAACAGGCGATCAGTTTATCCAAAACTTTTATTTCATGGTAGGCGTTACGTCTCATCTAAATCATCTTAATCGTAAACTACTCGGGAAAGAAAACTTAATTTTTTCGATGGTAGAAGAAGTAATAACATTCGAAAACAAATTATCCATATTTGCTCAGGATTTTGAAAGAGAAACATTGTATCACTTTCCGAGCCTGCTGAAGCATCGCCAAGAAAATAATTCCTCTATTGATAAACACCATTTTAAAACAATAATTTTAAATATGAGGGAAGAATTTCTCTGCAGATTTCAGGAATTTAAAAACAGCAGAGCAACTTTAGCATTTGTCGAAAATCCCCTTATTTCTACGATAACCGAGTTGAAATTTTCTCCCTTTGAAATTGACATTGGTAGCTTTGAAATACAATTGCTGGATTTAAAAAGCAAGGAGATATGGCGCTCTAAATTCGCTCTAATAACGTCTTTGTGTTGAATTGGAAATATTGGAGAAGAAAGAATTTGATCTTAGTTAACAACACAAGTGGTCTGCTTTGAATGACCTGGAGAAGGAAGACATGATCATTTTCAATGCTTGGAATAGTATTTCTGACTTTTACGATTAGTTGAAAAAGCTCGCATTTGCTGTTCTTTCCCTTTTCGGTTCTACGACATATATATGCGGACAATCTTTTTCAAGCATGAACATTATCAAAAGTAAACTGAGAAGTCGTCTTATTGATCAGAACTTGGAATCATGCTTAAAATTAAAAACAACAACATACAAACCTGACTTACTCAAAATTTCCAAGGAGATGCAAGCACATTGTTCGCATTAATAAATATTTATCAAGTATGAAATTTAGTTTTATTTAGCGTACAACTTATTTAGTGTCATAAAATTTTACTAAACAAGTAGATTTGGCTCCCAATTTTTTTTAAAATTGTTGTAATGTTCATATTTGGCCCTTTGACTAATAAGTTTGCCGACCACTGAACTAGAGTATTGGTCAAAAGAGAGTTCAATAGAGTAATGATAAGTAGGTTCGAAAACTTATCTAATGGTAGCATGTTTGAATTCAGATGCAAAAGATAGTGGGTTCCATTATTAAATGAAACAGAGATGTTTTGAAATTGATAAAATGATAGTGGGAACGAATATCGATAAAAAGAGAGGAAGTTTGAGTAGTGATAAAGATATAGTGTGTTCAAGTTTTGAACCAAAATTTCATTTATTAAAACGATTCATGGTTTCTAAGATTGATAAAATAATATTGTGTTCAAGTGCCGATAAAAAGACAGTTAGTTAAAGTACTGATCAAGTGATAGCGGATTTTTGAGTATCGATAATAGTATAGTAAGTTCAAATTCTGAACAAAAATTATTTAGGGTAGTCTGTTTATTTTAACTGCACACATTTAAATGATATTTTGAAGCTATTTCCTTATGTCGCAGTTTCGTTAAAAATTATTTTCAAAAATAAAAAAATTGTTGTAGTTGACTTTTTTAACATAAATGAATTAACTGCTGTTAATATACTTACTCATTGCTAATATGCTTATTCACTGGTCTTAAGTAATGTTAAACATGAAACTTGAAGCAATTCCCCCCTCAACCCTTACTTGTAGAATGGTTTAGAGGAGAGAAGCGAAACTAGCAAAAGCCTGGAAAATGGAAAACTAAATTGTCAAAAAATGACTTTTCTTCTGCACACTTTTCTTTTCATCTTTAATATAACTTATATGTACTCACTTAAAATAAACGAGTGAAAATAACTCAACTTGTGGGAAATTTCACTCTTTCATCTATAAAAAAGGAGCTTTCTCATCTTCAGTGAAATTGATTTAAGTGAAAGAGTGAAATGAAATCACTCAAATTTCATTGAAAAAATTTCATTCAAACTTGAGTGATTTTCAATCGTTTTTGATTGATTATCTGTATCACTCGAGTGGATCGTTTTCTCTCAAACTTGAGTGATTTTCAATCTATTTTGATTGATTATCTGTATCACTCGAGTGGATCGTTTTCACTCAAACTTGAGTGATTTTCAATCTATTTTGATTGATTATCTGTA